CCACATAAAGTCATTGACAAAATGTCATATGAACTTTGAAAGGTAAAGTACATTTGTACAAATACCTAAAAGTGTGGGGGTGCATAGCAAAAGTTGCAATGCCACCACCTAAAATTGTTAAACAATTGATCTCAAATAGTAATCTTAATAGATTATATCTACTTGAATGACAACCTAGGATCCATTTAAAGGTGTGTCATGAGATCAAATTGTAAAATCATCAAGAGGAATGGGTTTAAAGCCTATGACTTAAGAGGATGTTTGATGGTAACCCTACCTAACTGATTGGAGATCCCATGAAATAGGTTCAAGGGGAAAACTAAGTCAAACTGAATCAACTAGCACTGGGAGACTATGTCTCTACCCAGTTCCTAGGATGATGAACAGTGCTACCTGTATGGTAGAGGATAAGCTTTTGCTTTTAATGATTTGGGTCCATAACTTTGAAATATACATGGAGTAATGCAGGATACTCCTTTAAACAAAGTTAATGGCGAATCACCTTGTGAGTGTGAAATGGGGCCGTTTCTAGGAGAATAAATGAAAGGCTATATTCTCCAAGTTCACTCATGATTATCCAGGCAAGTTCACGGCCAAAATGAACACAATAGAGAACCTGATTCTGTGAGAGAATGAAGCTGTGTTATAGCTATTGTCTCGGTTTACATCAAAGCCCGAGAGGTTCAAGACATCATGTTCACCTCTTGGTCGAGTAAATCCGATAGTTTATAACAGTGATTTGGTTCAAGGCTGAAAAATGCTACCAACTCATATACAGTGGATTTTTCGCTGTACTCTCAAAAGTCGTTTTTTGAGTCTTGTCTAGAGAGTCAAGTCTAAAGTTGAGTCGTCCAGTGTCTAGAGTCATTTCTATTCATGTGGGGGATTGTTGGAACTTATTTTTGATAATATATTTATATGTCAAAAATGAAGTTGGTTTGAATGAGAAATGGAGGTCCAAGTGGGTTGCTTGTATAGCATAAAATGTAACATTTTATGAAATGTCCCACATTGGAAATTTGAGGTGAAATCCTCTTGTATATAAAGTGGAGAATTTAAAGCAAAGTTTAAAAACTTGTGTATTAATAGAGAAAGATGATTACCGGGACGGAACTTGTGTCTCGGGCCTCGGGATTGGCAATCGGGCCAATGTCCATAAGTTAATTCTTTTTGGTCCGAAATTCTTGTTGAATTTTGATGTTGATTATTAAGTCAACAAATATCTTCTCTAATTAAATATTTTCAAATGATAATTAAGTGCAAGTTAATTATTATTGATTTTGTAACATCAAATATTTAAGTCATGTTGAAAGAGTTGTTGTGAGAATTCATATAAGAAACAATCCTTTCACTTCTCTTCTTTTTTGTTTTATTTTTCTTATGAGAGTATATCACAGAAAACATAGTTCGAAAGCTTATGTATTGAGTGATGCAATCATAAGAAGTATGCAGTTTTATCCTGGGATTCGGAACGCTATGCAACCGTCACACTACGGGGCGTTTACAGAATTAAGGAAAGAGATCATATCTTGACTCTGCAAATCCGGTTTTATTTCCTTAATTCTTGCTTATTTGTATCATTTTAATATTATATTATATTAATTTGTTCATATTAATACTTTACATTAATCAGTCACCCATTGTAGAATTTGCGTTCTTACATATACAAGGTTGATAACAGAGTTAACAAGAATTTAACGTGTTAATCTCAATATACAATTTTCCTCGTATACAATTTACAAGGTTAACGAGAAAATTGTAACGTGTTCAATATAAAAGATATTATCTCAATATACAAGGTTAACAATATTTTTCCTACATTAGTTTAACGTGTTAATGTGTTAAATAAATTAGCATGTTGAAAATTATTACGTTAAATCAGCTGTCATATTGTTAAAATATATTTTTTTTCTTGTTAACTCTGTTATCATACTATAAATTATCGCGTTCATCAAATTATCGGATAGAGACTATGAAAATTATGTTGTTAACCTAGTTATCATTTCATGAAAAATATGAATTATTAATTACCTAACTTTATTAACATAATAATAATTTATATGAAATTTATCTCAAAAACCTTTTAACTATGTTTCATCAGTGTTATCGTTATCATCATTAACGCCACCACTGTAACCATCGCCACCACTAGCACCACCTATACTATAACCATCGCCACCGCCGTAAATCCGTGACCACCGTTATTGTTCCCCCCGATCATCATCATTGTTGAACACCATCGTTTTGGCCAACGTGAGTACGTGACTATCATCAATTTCTTTTTCTTCTTGTTCCTCTTCTCTTCCTTCTTCTTCTTCTTTCTTCTTTCTTCATGGATTATTTAAAGGATAAAAAGAGATTTTATTGTCAAATTATGAATAGTGCTTAGTAGAGAGAACTAATTTTAGCACTATTGATTGCATTGCATTGCAATTACTCATTGTAAAAATACACATTCAAAATATAATGTAAGCCATATATTTTATTTGAAATATTAAATTCAAATTCACATATTTATCAAACAAAAATATCAACAAGACGTTTATCAAAATAACATGCATGTAGTGCGATATTAGATTGATGAGAGAAGAACACATTTGTGTGTAGGAAGAAGTATATTAACTCTCATAAAGAATACAAGAATGGTTACACATGTTTATATAGAGAAGAAGATACTAGAGCTAATTAACCTAGTTTCCATAGTTACAAATCTACTAATTATGAACAAATATATTTACGGATCTCCAAGATATTCTAGATCCTTCTATATGCCCCCTCAAGCTCAAGGCAGTTAAGAAGATATGCGGAACTAATGGCTTGAGATTGAAAATAGAATGATCCGATTGTTCAAAGCATCTTTTGTTTCTTTGGATTTCATGTTGGGTGGGCTTTTGACATAGACCATGGCAGAGACGACAATGGTTGAAGCAGTGATCTCTCAGTAGTGGAGAAAGACATCGTGTATGATGATGGTGGGGATGATGGTGACATGGAGATCTGGTGAACATCGCTCTTTTTTTTTTCTTTTTTTTAAAGAATGATAGAGAACAAAGGAGAATGTTTTTGTTTATTTTTTTTATTTTTTTTCATGGTTATGAAGAAGCGTAGTTGGCTTGAAAATTTAGAAATGAATTTTGTTTTTTTTTTTTTTCAAGGAAGAAGAGATAGAAAACTAAAACAAAAAGAAGATTGAAGAAAATGAGAAGAGAGAAGTAGAAAGAGGTAAAGAGATGAGATGTTTGATTCAGAGGTCCATGATAGACTTGAATGAATGAAGCACAATGGCTTAGATTCAGAGGTTCATGATGAACTTGAATAGAGAAGCATTAGGCTTAAACAAAAATATAAAAGAAGCTCTATGGCTTAAAACAAAAACGAAAATGAGAGTTTGACCGTTTGATCGAAACTCTTGAGCATACCTGCTCTGATACCATATTAGATTGATGAGAGAAGAACACATTTGTGTGTAGGAAGAAGTATATTAACTCTCATAAAGAATACAAGAATGGTTACACATGTTTATATAGGGAAGAAAATACTAGAGCTAATTAACCTAGTTTCCATAGTTACAATCTACTAATTATGAACAAATATATTTACGGACCTCCAAGATATTCTAGATCCTTCTATATGCGAGATTACCCTTAGTAATAATAATAACTATTAGCCGACCCACGCAGTATCGCGGGGTTATGTTTTTTTTTTTTTAATTTTCAGTTTAGTTTTGTTATCCAACCCGATCAATTAAAATAATGAATATTGTAGATTATTTAGTTTTTGGTTTGAACTCAAACATACCCGAACCTGAATTGAACCCGACCCGATATTGAACCCAAATTCATTGGGTACTATATGGGTAAAAAAAACAACTACCCAATAGACCCGAATGTACCTATCCAAACCCGACCCGATGGGAGTATGTGAACCGATCAATTAATATATTTGATTTCTGGTTTGACTGAACTATCTTCCGGTTTATTTTAAATTCTTATGCAGAGCCGCATTCTTTACCCAGCAATTCAGTTCGGTTTTATGTTTTCTGAACCATCGATTTGTTAAGTTATTATTCTTGTAGCCAAAAAGTTTTTTCCTTGTATCCAAACAGTTTTTCTCTTTTATTATTATATCCAACCACAATTTCCTTAATAGAAAAAGAGAGTTACAACATAGATACCTATTTTTACCACACACAAAAAAAACATATACACCGCCTATTCTATAAGAAAAGAGACACATGCAATGACTAGCTAGCTTGTCAATTACCACATTTATGCTATAACATCATCAGCATGAGAGGATAAGAAAATAAGAAGTAGCTTAGATATTACATGACTGTATAGAGAGCTCTTTAGAGCTTTCACTTTCATATTCCTTGGAAGCACATGATGATAGCAATCGATATATACATCTTTCAATCTAGTTCCATTTGAGTTTTAGAAAGCAAGATGTGTTGGATTTGGGTTAAAAGTTTGCGGTTCTTACACGATGACAACATAAGCCTTGTTCCTTAGCTTGATGCCAAGTAAACATCACACATTAACATGCCGCGACTATACTTACTGATTGGAAAGAAAATCAGTGGTGTTGTCGCATTTAAAGTAACGCTACGGTCAATGTATTTTTAGGGCTCATATTAAAATGACGCAAGGATGAATGGTTTTAACTCCATTTCTAACGCTAGACTTTATCGCAAAATCATGTTTCGGAACAAGTTATAAAATTTAAAAGTCCATGCATATAGGTATGCATTCCATATACATAACTCATGTTGGAGGCTTACATAGTTATCCAAACTACCAAGTCAAGAATACGCAATGCATAATCGTATATGGCAAAGGAATACAAAGGCATAAATAAACATTAAAAGGTATTACACCCAAATTATGAATTCAGGTCTCCAAGAAAATACAAATTGATAGGATACAAATAATATCCAAAAACAAAGAAGATGAAATCAAGTAAAACATGGTAGCTTAATCAAGAACTGCATTTACTGGTTTTCAGTAATATGAAGGTGGTGGTGGAGACTTGTAGTCTACCTTAGGGGAAGGTGAGTAATATGGTGGCGGTGGGGAACTGTAAACATATGGTGGTGGGGGAGATTTGTAGTCTACCTTAGGGGAAGGTGAGTAGTATGGTGGTGGTGGGGAACTGTAGACATATGGTGGTGGTGGAGACTTGTAGTCTACCTTAGGGGATGGAGAGTAGTATGGTGGTGGTGGGGAACTGTAGACATATGGTGGTGGTGGAGACTTGTAGTCAACCTTTGGGGAAGGTGAGTAGTATGGTGGTGGTGGAGAACTGTAAACATATGGTGGTGGTGGAGACTTGTAGTGATACCTTAGGCGAAGGTGAGTAGTATGGTGGTGGTGGGGAACTGTAGACATATGGTGGAGGAGGAGACTTGTAGTCTACCTTAGGGGACGGTGAGTACGCTGGTGGGGGTGGTGAGTTGTAGACATATGGTGGTGGAGGAGACTTGTAGTATACTTTAGGAGAAGGTGAGTAGTATGGTGGTGGTGGAGAACTGTAAACATATGGTGGTGGAGGAGATTTGTAGTATACTTTAGGAGATGGTGAGTAGTACGGTGGTGGTGGAGAACTGTAAACATACGTGGTGGTGGAGATTTGTAGATACTTTATATAGTATGGTGGTGGAGAGTTGTAGATTGATGTAGGACTTATATACAGGTTTTGGAGAAGGAGAATAGCATGGAGGCGGTGGTGGACAGACGCATACATGTGGGTGTGGTGGAGATTTGTAATGAACTTTAGGAGATGGTGAGTAGTATGGTGGTGGAGGAGAACTGTAGACATATGGTGGTGGGGGAGACTTGTAGTGTACCTTAGGGGATGGAGAGTAATATGGTGGTGGTGGGGAACTGTAGACATATGGTGGTGGAGGAGACTTATAGTGTACCTTAGGTGCGGGAGAGTAGTATGGTGGTGGTGGGGAACTGTAGACATATGGTGGTGGAGGAGACTTTGTAGTCTACCTTTAGGGGAAGGAGAGTAGTATGGTGGTGGTGGGGAACTGTAGACATACGGTGGTGGAGGAGACTTGTAGTATACCTTAGGGAAGGAGAGTAGTATGGTGGTGGTGGGGAACTGTAGACATATGGTGGTGGAGGAGACTTGTAATGTACCTTAGGAGATGGTGAATAGTGGTGGTGGTGGAGAACTGTAGACATATGGTGGTGGAGGAGACTTGTAATCACCTTAGGAGATGGTGAGTAATATGGTGGTGGTGGAGAACTGTATACATACGGTGGTGGAGGAGACTTGTATACAACCTTAGGGGATGGAGAGTAGTATGGTGGTGGTGGAGAACTGTAGACATATGGTGGTGGAGGAGACTTGTAAACTACCTTAGGAGATGGTGAATAATATGGTGGTGGTGGAGAACTGTAGACATACGGTGGTGGAGGAGACTTGTAATCTACCTTAGGGATGGAGAGTAGTATGGTGGTGGTGGGGAACTGTATACATACGGTGGTGGAGGAGACTTGTAGTCTACCTTTGGCGATGGGAGTAGTATGGTGGTGGTGGGGAACTGTATACATACGGTGGTGGAGGAGACTTGTAGTCTACCTTAGGTGAGGGAGAGTAGTATGGTGGTGGTGGGGAACTGTATACATATGGTGGTGGAGGAGACTTGTAATCACCTTAGGTGAGGGAGAGTAGTATGGTGGTGGTGGTGAACTGTAACATATGGTGGTGGAGGAGATTTGTAGTCATTAGGGATGGAGAGTAGTATGGTGGTGGTGGGGAACTGTATACATATGGTGGTGGAGGAGACTTGTACTCAACCTTGGGAGGGAGAGTAATATGGTGGTGGTGGAGAACTGTAGACATATGGTGGTGGAGGAGACTTGTAGTCAACCTTGGAGATGGTGAATAATATGGTGGTGGTGGTGGAGAACTGTAAACATATGGTGGTGGAGGAGATTTGTATCTCAACAGGGGATGGTGAATAGTATGGTGGTGGTGGTGGAGAACTGTAAACATATGGTGGTGGAGGAGATTTGTACTCAACCTTGGGAGGGAGAGTAATATGGTGGTGGTGGAGAATGTAGACATATGGGGTGGAGGAGATTGTACTCCACCTTGGGGATGGTGAATAGTATGGTGGTGGTGGTGGAGAACTGTAAACATATGGTGGTGGAGGAGACTTGTATTCACAGGGGATGGTGAATAGTATGGTGGTGGTGGTGGAGAGCTGTAAACATACGGTGGTGGAGGAGACTTGTATTCTATAGGGGATGGTGAATAGTATGGTGATGGTGGTGGTGAATTGTAGACAGATGGTGGAGGAGGTGATTTGTATTCTACATCCGGGGATGGTGAATATGATGGTAGTGGTGGTAAGCTATTTGTATGGTTCATACGCAACAACCATTGTTGCCATGATGATAATTCCTAGAGCGGAAAGCAAGATGGGCTGAAGGCCCCATCCTAGGAGAAGATCTCATGGTGATATTGCTTTTCTTTACCAACGTCTTACGTTGGGTAGTGTTTCTTGTTTTGGTTTGTGTTGTAAGGAAATGGATCATTGGTTTATATAGCAAAGCTTTTCTTTTAATCAAGCTTGTCTTCTCTCTTTTGCCATTTGTTTTTAACTGCCTCAAACTAAATCGTGGAAGCATGTTTACACGATGCTAGTATGAGACGTGCAAGAACGTTTAATGAATGTCAATGAGCCACTTTCCATTTTTTATTCACAAGTTCGAGAAGAACGTTGTATAGATGCATTGTTTTGGTCATTGACCAAGTTTGTTTATTTTTCAATTTTTTTTTTTGAATATTCGACGCACTTAATTCTTAGTTGTCATTGGTTCTGCATTATTATCGATTGTATTTTCCATTTAACCATTACAGAAGTATATTACATGAATAATCATGCATACTTTTGGGCTTTATTCCTACATTATTCTTATTAGGTGAGTTTTCTGCATGTGCCAAAAAAAAAGCAGGTGAGTAAGACAATTAAAAAATTGTCGCATCTCGTATGGATAAAAACAATATCATATCAAGAGGTAAGAAGGAACATACAAAACAGGCAGACTAATCCTAGTTTAAACAAATTATATTCCCATAACATCCCTAATGATGTTGGAGAAGTTTAAGAGATTCTCTTAGTTTTTCTTTTTCTTTAATTATATTTTTTCTTTTGGGTTTTGGATATTTTTTAGGGTTTTATTTTTCTATATAAACACTTTTAAATTATAGCCATGAGACATATCTTATTATTCTAATTAACTAAAGCAGAGAAATTTTTTCTAATCTGGTGGACTTCCAGAGTTTTCACTTCAAGTTCATCGCTTGTGAACTTGAATTCAATCTAGGTTTAGTATTTGCTATTCCTAGGGTTTTCCGACTGCGTCAAGTGGTATCAGAACATGCTTTTTCCTGTCTCTTTTTCGAGTTTGAACAGCTATAGGATCTCAACCGTTGACCAGAGCAGATCTTGAGGGTATTTCGGAGGCTTTAACCACAAACCTCACTACTTTGACGAATCAGATGGCGGCATTAACGACTCAAATAACAGCTTTCACCTAGCCCTGGGCATTTCGGGACGGGAATCCCGTTCCCACCCTTACCCGTTTAAAATTTCCCGAACTTTTTGGGAATGGAAATTTGCAATTTAATTCAAACGGGTAAGGGAAGGGTTCGGGAAAGGTAAGGGATTTCCCGATTTTCCCGTTTAAAAAAAAAATGAAATTATATATTTTTTTCTTAAATATCCCAAATTTTCCCATATTTTCCCTAATTTTCCCATAATTTCCCGTATTTTCCCATAATTTCCCGTATTTTCCCATAATTTCCCATATTATCTTCAATTTACGGATTTATTAAGACTTCGGGTATTATTTTCTGTTCCCAAATTTCCATTCCCATGATTTCCCGTCCCTAAGGGAATGCTTCGGAAATCATATTTGATTTCCCGAATTTCCCATTCCCGTCCCGTACCCGTCAATTTTCATCCCAAAACCCGAAATGCCAAGGGCTACTTTCACCAATCAAGTTGTTAACGCAGGGCAAAGAGATAGGGGAAGAGAACCAATTAGGGTTCAACAGGGCAGAAACAATCGTGCCGCAGAGCCAGTTAGGGTTCAACATGGTGGAAACAATCGTGGTGTTAATGTTGAAATCTCTAGTTCTGATGATGAAGATCTTGAGGACGAAGAAGAGGCTGATCAAGAGAATCGACAAAACAATCATGATTATAGAGTAAAGGCTGATATTCCATTGTTCTATGGAACTATGGGAGTGGAGGAGTTTCTGGATTGGCAGATTGATGTTGATAGATTCTTTGATGTGATGGGTGTTCCTGAGAGCAAACAAGTTAAGATGGTAGCAATCAGGCTGAAGAAAACTGCAGCTGTATGGTGGGATAAACTTGTTGTCCAAAGACAAAGGCAAAGAAAAGGACCAGTCAAGACTTGGCGTAGAATGAAGCAGTTGATGCTTGATCGGTTCTTACCAGAAGACTATGAGCAGATTCTCTACAAGATGTATCTCGAATGTGTTCAAGGTAAACGAACAGTGACAGAGTACACAGCTGAGTTTGTGCGTTTCTCTGAACGCAATGACCTAGGAGAGACAGATAATCAAAAGGTGGCTAGATACATCAGTGGTTTAAGAAGCTCTATACAAGAGAGAATTTGGTTTGCAGACCGTATGGACTGTGCAAGAGGCTTCTAGTTTAGCTTTGAAGGCTGAGCTAATGGAGAAGTCAACTCGCAGTTTTTCTTCATTCAAGAGGTTTACACCTCAGAATAACTACGAGGCAGCAAACGAAAAGGAAAAGAATGTTGTAAGCAAAGATCCCAACCCTGGAAATAAAGGAGCTAGTAGTTCTACCACTACTCAGCAGAGTAAAGCACCAGCTCAAAGGCAGAATAATCCTTATGCTAAACCATCTCTTGATAAGTGTTATCGTTGCCAAGGACAAGGTCACAAATCAAATGTTTGTCCAAGCAGAAGAACTGTTGCTTTGCTAGGAGAAGAAGAAGACGAAGAACAAGAGTTTAATGAGGATGATGAATATGAAGGGGTTGAATTTGCTGAAGAGGAGTCACATGAGAAGATAAACATTGTGCTTCAGAGAATCTTATTGTCATCTAAGGACGAAGGACAACGCAAGAATTTGTTTAGAACACACTGCTCAATTCAAAACAAAGTGTGTAATGTGATTGTGGATAATGGAAGCACAGAGAATTTGGTTTCTCAAAAGCTGGTTGATTTTCTGAAGTTGCCAACAAAAGAACATGAGAACCCTATCCTCTTGGGTGGATAAAGAAGGGCTCACAAGTTCGAGTCACAATGACTTGCAAAGTTCCCATCTCCATTGGGAAACACTACAAGGAAGAGGTAATTTGTGATGTTCTTGACATGGATGTTTGTCATGTTTTGTTTAGTCGACCTATGATAGGATTTTGGTGTCTTTGTAGTATGAAATGAAAGATGGTGGATAGTTATGATATGAATGGAAGACATGCAAGATCACAGACAATTAATTCCTCAAGTTATCATCATATCAATGCAATACTTAAGGTTATCAATCCATAATGGGAATGCAGCTACTCTTTAAGATTACGCAAATGCTTGGAAGTCAAGCGAAATGGTTTAATAGAGGTAAATGTAACAATCTAACAACCTAGGTGAAATGAAATGCAGTACAGAAAGATAAATCAGTAAGTGAATGCAAGGAACTAAACAGGAACTAAACAGGAACTAAGCAGTAAGTGAATGCAAACAGACTCGATCGAGTGACCGATCAAGCTAGAGTAACAGGGGAAAAAACAGAGGAAAGAGAGCAAATGCGAAATAACAAGTAAAGGTGCGGTTTTAGACTTGTATGGATGTAATTAGGCTTAAAGATGGGGTTTTAACAATCAGGAGAAATTTATACTTAATCAATGTTTCTTTAACAACTTGTATTCAGGCTAATCTTTGGCTTTGAACTTCTCAAGGCTGATTAATGATATACCTCTATTTTACATGTTTTTTTATATGGTTTTACAATGCTTTTCATAAGGTTTTTAATGGCTATCTGATCTAAAAATGTAGTTTTTCTGGAGTTATAGTACTTAGAGCATCCACATTGCAGAACAGCTTATGGAGCTCTTTAAATTTTTTTAATACTAAATATATTAATTAATTAATTGTAGAGCTTGTGTTGAAAATTTAGGAGCTTTATCTCCACATTGCAGAACTGAAAAAGGGTTCTAAAAGTTTGATTTTTTTTTCATACTGTTATTGAAACACAATTACATAGAGTTTATACCGTTTGTTTGTCTCTTTAAATGCTTACTGTTACATCTTCAAAATCAGAGTATTATGAGTAAAATGAGTAACAAGAGAGAACTGTGAAGCAATGTGTATAACAACTTTCAATTAGCTCTTATAACGTTGCAGAAGTGAGACTCCATAGGCATCGCATAGCATCGATATATTGTTCATAGAGTGAAAACAGAAAATTAAGCAAATGCAAAGACTTTTCCATTTGCTATTGCTCTCTCTAAGAATTACTATGCCAAGAACAAAAGTGACAGTACAAAGATCAACGATGAGTAACATAATGATGTGAACAACTAAAGATTGCAAAACATTCCAGCAACATATAATATGAAGACGGAGAGATAATCAAATTGAGCTGCACAAGATCAACATTTTCAACACAAGAAACCTATTGATTTACCTTTGGAGTAGAGTCATTGATATCTCAAGAAGGTGTTTTATAGCCTAGTGCCTTCTCTAGAGAGCCACGAACATCAAACTGGTTTTGTAATCTTTCTCAAGCTCTTGAATCTACAATGTAACCAAAGATAATGAAGAAACCAATCATGAGAGTGTGAAACAAATCATACTTGGAGTAGAGAGAGAGCTACACAGAAGTTTAAACACAAACCTCTTGCTTTAGAGAGCTCTGGACTTTAACATCAGGCGATAGATTCTTCTTCGTTTCAACAGATTTCTCGCAGCAACGAGGTAAGTCCTGTGAAGAAACAGTTAAAGGAAAGTAAGAATCAGCTGTTTTTCTAAAGTTTTGAAAATCATAAATCATAAGGAAGTTGTTGTGTTTCACTCACGAGCTTGAAGCGTTGAGAAGCATTAAGAGAAGGATCAGTGCTACTATCCTCTTCAAGCTTTTTCTTTTCAGGAATGGCCCAGCTAAAACAAGTGATCAAGATGCTAAGAATCAATCAAAAATAGTTGAAAGTTGAAACCCAGAAAAGATAAAGCACAGATTTTGAGTAAAACTAGAACATAAACCAACATTGTATCAGATGTACATAAAGCTTCAATCTTTTAGTCCTAAAACCTAAATTCGACAATAAAAGACCCAAACTTTGACACATCTAGCATCGAAATTACTTTAATTTTATCTACCCAAGTTCTCGAATTTGAGAACGACCCAAATTTTTTGAAACAGAGCTAAAGAAGAAAGTGGTAAAATTGACTAACCTGTTCAAACGATTGTGTCTCTGTTTCTACATTTTCTTTTCTTCAAATCCCAATTTTGAAACCAAGTTCAGAAAATCGTTGATCAATTGAAGCAAGGAGGTTTAAAAATCATGAAAATGCAAGAAATTGGAGCATAGAAGAAGAACTCTCGGCGGTGGCGAAGAAGAAGAGAAACGTTGTGCGAAGTAGAAAGGAGACCAATGAGAAGGTGAAGAACAAGAACAACGTCGAAGAATCAAGAGAAAAAATAACCGGGATCGAAGAAGTAGGAATTCAAGGAGCCCGATGATAGGATTTGTGTGTGGGTGTGAAAGATATGATATGAAATGTGGTGGAATGCAACAGTGGTATATAAGATGAGGTGGTAAGATGCAAACACAAACACAATCAACAATTCCCTTAACCATCATAGTCATTATAGTATAAGGGTATCAATCCAAAATGGGTGAAATTGTCACTCTATGAGAATATGAAAACAGGAAGTCAAGCAAGCAGTAAATGATAAGATAACAACCTAATGAAAAGAAATGCAATGCAATAAAAGAAAAAAAGCAGTAAGCAACAGCTCGACCAAGGACTCGAGTCGAGTAGGAACAGAGTACCAAGCTCGATCGAGTTGAGGGTCGAGTTGAAGTAAAAAGCAATAAAGGCACGACTTTAACAAGCTAATGCGAGAATTAGGGTTCAAGACAGGGTTTTACAATCAGGGAAGCTACACTTAATCGATCTTGCTCTTAAAACTCCTTGTATCAAGGTTCTCTTGATATTGGGCTTCTCAATGCCTAGCTAACCCTTTCCCAAGGTGAAAGCTATCAACCAAGGAATGATCTCAGAAACAGGGGGTTAGCCAGTGAGAATCAAACCTTGGAGGCCATAGGATCATTGCCCAAACTAATCCATCCAACCCCTATGAACTCCATTTCGAGAGCAAGAGTTATTGGAGCTCTTAGTGGATATTTTCCAGCGATTTCCATCACTTCCATGTGGAGAATCGCCTAATGGACATACAAGCCAGGGGTAGTGGTCATGTAGCCTTAAGATTTATCCAAAAGAGAGAGAATCTAGATTAAGACCATAAGCAAGAAGGATTAAGCATATGAAACCCCTAATCTATCCCATCTCAAACCCTAATGGGTAACTACTCACTACACATGAATGTAAACACAAGCAAATGCAATAAAAAACATCAAATGAAAGAGGAGATAAAGATAAACAACTTTTATTGAAATAAGCAAGTGCAAATACAAAGAGATATCCAGGATCTAGGATTCAAGAAGCAAGAGCTTCAAGAACACAAAGATGGGATTAGAGTTCTAAAAAGTAAAAGACAATAAAAAAAGCTAAAAAAAAATAATCTAAAGCTTGGTGGTTTTTTCGTGGCTTTTAGCCTTTAAATACAAGAGGATTTAGGTTTAGGGTCAAAGGAAAGTCAAGGGGGAAGCAACATTTTTCGGGTTTGACTGTTGACTTCTCAGCTCGATCGAGTTGAAGCTTGGCCGGTCGAGTTGAGGAACTCGACCGGTCAAGATGACTTCCTCCTTCTTCCTTTGCGTATCCAGTTGAGCTGCGTCCATGCACCAAGTCCTTCCATGCTCCTCACGTCCCATATGCTCCAAATGCTCCAAAAGACCTATTTCAAAGGACCAAACATGCATATGTATGCAAATGCAACCTAAAACTACTATGAATGCATAAGAAGAGAAAAGGAACAAGATATGATGCTAATGGATGCTAAAACTATGCAAAAGATGCATAAAAGATGTACTAAAACTATGCAAAATGCAAGTACATCAGAGCCGCTCAGATCAGAGAGAAGACGGAGCGATCTCTCTCCGGGGCTCTCTTGTATCGACGCGTGTCAAGTTGAGCCAACTCTACAAGCTCCTCCGCCAGAGACGCCTCTCAAAAAATTTCATGCCATATGTATAAATTTTTCATTTTTTCTTTATTTTTTTTTGTTTTCCCAGAACCGATATAAAATTGTGCAATGCGAATGCTCTTAGAGTTTAAACAGGTCAAAAGATGCATTTTGGAGCAAAACACAGGATTTGGACTTCAAGACCACTCCAGGACGTAGCATCAAATTTAAAGGGCCTTAAAAACATTATACTCAATGGATTTCATCAAATCCAGTTCGAGCGATTGCATACATGAGTTAGCTTTGAAAAGCAACTGGAATTACTCAATTTGGCCGAGTAGATTGAGAGATATCTCTATTTCCCTGAGACATATACGAAGAGCTTTATCGGACTGCATCAGTACATCAAACGAGAAGCAACGGCACGGACCTTAAACTCAACGGATTTCAATGAAACTTGGCAACAACATAGCCATATAGTTAGTGATCCAATGCCGTTGGAAGTATGCAATTTGGATGAGCATTTAGGAGATATCACGTTTGTACTGAAGACTGGTCCACAGCCGGCCGAACGCACTCGGCCGGACAGAAAACTTATTGGCTTCGCTCGGCCTTCTCCAGGACCGACCCGCACGACGCACCGTCCGACCGGGAGGCAATGGACCACGATCGACCCAGAACATACCTAAAGGCCGACCCCGACGGCCGACCACAACTACAGTACGGTCGACCCAAGCTCCGCGAACAAGAAGCCCACTTATGCAGTTTCGACTATCTTGGCCCGTTTCGCCTCAACCGACTTGTGGAAGACCTAGGGCACTATAAATACACTTTTTAGCCTCATTAGAAGAGATAGCCGCATAGAGAGCCGCACAGGAGAAGAATCACAAGAGAGAGACGCACTAGGGAGTTCCCCTTAGAGGGATCCTCCATTGTTTTACTTCTTTCTCATTGTTTTCTTAAGGGAGAAGATCCCTTCTTTGTATCTTGACATAGAGAAGCTTTCTAAACCCATTTATCCTTATAATAATATGATTTCTTTCTCAGATCTATGCTTGTTTACTTGCACCATTGAGTAGATTTCTAGTTAGGTTTTAGGGTTTCAAAGAGTTCATGTGTTGATTATGATTTGATGAATTAACTAGGGATATCATTAGAGTCTTTGTCTCGGTTTACACACTTAATTAATGCTAATCACTTTACCGTACATCTAGTGATTCGATCTTAGGTTGATTTGAGCCACGACAGTGATGTATCATTCGCCGGACATAATCTTTGACAAGCTAGGTTTCTTAGACTGCGACAGTTGATTTACTTAACCTAGTGAACTGTATCCGACCTTGCTCGATTTAATGCTTGATTTAACTGCCTAAGGACATGCCAAAAGCTTAGCGATTAGGCTAGTTAACAAAGAGGTCGGAGCCACGACAAAGGAATGATCTTACATTCATGCTTGGTGTTCTAGACGGATCTTACATCCCATATCCCTTGATGTACTTGCATTTTGCATAGTTTTAGTACATCTTTTATGCATCTTTTGCATAGTTTTAGCATCCATTAGCATCATATCTTGTTCCTTTTCCCTTCTTATGCATTCATAGTAGTTTTAGGTTGCATTTGCATACATGTGCATGTTTGATCCTTGAATAGGTCTTTTTGGAGCACTTTGGAGCAATTGGGACGTGAGGAGCAAGGAAGACTTGGTGCATGGATTCAGCTCAACCGCACACGCTTAGGATGAAGAAGGAAGCCGTCTTGAAGTCAGCTCGACCCATCTACTCGACCAACCGGTCGAGTTCCTCAACTCGACCGGCCAAGTTCCAACTCGATCGAGCTGCGGAGTCAATGGTCAAACCCGAAAAATGTTGCTTCCCCTTTGACCCTAAACCTAATCCTTCTTGTATTTAAAGGCTTGTGGCCACGAAAAAGACAACAATCTTTAGCTTATTTTCGTTTTGCTTTTCTTAACTTGTATTTACTTTTTGCAAAACCTAAGCCTCTCTTTGTGTTCTTGAGCTCTTGCTCTTGAACCTTAGATCTAGGCCTTATCTTTCTGTATTTGCACTTGCTTATTTCAATAAAAGTTCTTTAGTTTCATTCCCTCTTTCATATTATGTCTCTTTCATTGCATTTGATTGTGTATTTCGTTATGTGTAGTGAGTAGTTATCCTTAGGGTCCAAGATGGGCTAGACTAGAGGATCCTTATGCTTAATCTCTTTTGCTTTATGTTCTTAATCTAGAAATCTCTCTCTTTTGGACAAGCCTTAAGGCTACATGACCACTACCCCTGGCATGTATGAGTCTAGGCGATTTTCCTCATGGAAGTGTTGGGAAATCGCTTGAAAAGGTCCACTAAGAGCTCCAATATGCTTGCTCTCGAAATGGAGTTTATAGGTGTTGGATGGGTTAGTTTGAGCAATGATCCTACTGCCTCTAAGGCTTGATTCTCACTGGCTAACCCCCTGTTTCTGAGATCTTGCCTTAGATGATAGCTTTCACCTTGGGAAAGGGTTAGCTAGGCTTGAGAAGCTCAATACCAAGAGATAGCTTGAGTACAAGTGGTTAATGAGCAAGATTGATTAAGTATAGTCTTCCCCTAGTCGCAAGACCCTGTCTTAGACCCTAGCCTTCGCATTATCGTATTAAAGTTCGTGTCTTTATCGCTTTTCCTCTGTTTTTACGCTAACTCGACCCTCAACTCGATCGAGCTCAGTTACTCTGTTTCTACTCGATCGAGCCCTTGGTCGAGCTGCTTTCATTTACTGCTTTCTTTTACTTTCTGCATTGCATTTCATTTCATTAGGTTGCTAGAGTTATCTATCTGCTTGACTTCTTGTGTTTGCATATCCTTGAGGGTTTGGTTAACTGCCTAAAGACATACCAAAAGTTTAGCGATTAGTTTAGTTAACAAAGAGGTTGGAGCTACGACAATGGAATGATCTTACATCCGTGTTTTGAGTTCTAGATGGCGCATTTTAACCCTTCTAATGAATTTGATTGCATAACTTGATATTTTTGAATCTGTGAGAACTTTCCCATTGCCTAATGTCTTTCCCTTATTGAACTTTCACCATTTTACTTTGCTTTCATTTAGTTTTTTGTATACCAAAACCCCAACATATTATTTGTCCTAGCTAAGTTAAATTCGCATAGTTTATAGTGCACTTATTTGCTTCTTGTGTTCGAAAACCTGTTACTACACATAACATGTGCATTTGTAGAATCAGGGATATGAATAGGTAAAACCTGATCCCGCATCATTATACAAGAATTAAAATAATTCATTAAAATTAAAATATAAAGAAATTTAATAAGAAAAAAATTATAAAAGAAATTTTATAAAGTACTAGATAGTTCCGCGTATACGCAGAGTTTATCTCAAGATTTTTGAAATAATTTATGAAAAAATATTAAACAAAATATTATTACTTTTAAATATAAGTAAAATGATATTAAAAATCCGATACATAATATTTGAATAACATAATATATTTCAGTTCCATGATATCACATAATAAGAGACATACAAAAATTCTTTTTATTTTATTTTTTACATTTTTTCTTGGTTTGGTAAGACATAAAATATATTTATTTTTCCTTTTTCCATTAAAATATCGATAATTTCCATTTTTTCTCATTTTTTCCTTTTTTCTTTTTTTTTTGTTAGAATATATATATATATCATATTAGTATTTGCAAATCAATTTTCGTGAATGGAGGCACCACGTTAACTTTCAGCCGCAAAATTACCGTGATACCCTTAATGAAAATCTTTTAATATATTCACTTTATAATTAGTTAACTATAAACTATATTTTTCTTAAATTTGGAAAATCTGATAAGATTAACTTTTTTTTTTCTTTCTTTTCTTTTTTCTTACATGATAATGTCTGCATTTACAAGAAACCCTAATTTTCAAGACTTACATATATCTTTTCGAAGTTTCTTTTGTTATTATTTTCAACATTCAATATTTTTTTTTCTCCTCTTTCTCCTAGGTTTCGATGGATTCTTTTTCTGGGTTATAATTCTTTATTAAACCATATGTCCTATTCTTCAGATCCAATATCAAATATCCAACACTTATTTTATATGGCCATCTTGGTTTTTGTTGTGTTCCTGCATGGTTGTAATTTTAATATGTCACACTGATTTTTTCTTATTACTTTGTTGCTGTTTTCTCCCTTTTATTTGGTTCGATGCGAGACTAATTTTTTGGCTTTTTGTTTTAGTGTTTGCAGATAAAAAATCACAACTATTGAAACAAATAATCGGTTGTACAAGAAATACCAACAACAAAAGGTAGATGGTTTGATTTTGATACTTTGAACGTGTTTACTTTTAATATATATTTCATATGATATAAGTAACAATTAGAGTTTAAACCCTAATTGTTTTATCATACAGACTGTGCTTTTTCTCCTAGCCTTTTCTGTGTTATAATTCTTTGTTAACCCATATGTCCTATTGTTCAGATCCAATATCAAATATCCAACACTTATTTTCATTATTAGCCATACTTCTTCTGTTGAAACCGGCATGCATAACACTCCAATCATCTCCTCTGTTTTGGAAGTTCTAATTAGTTAGAGTATGTTATTTTCTTAATGAAAGGTGTGTAAGATCTGCTACAGAAGTTGCTGGGTTCAGGGTGGAGTATAATTTGGAACTGATGTGGAGAAACTCATGTAACTCTGGAATCGATCATATATATTTGTTCTGTGGGAGCCCTAACACCCGTCCTAGCTTTTTGCTTTCAAAGCCAGAAACTGAGAGTTAAAGGAACATAACCCATTGATGTTACAGATGCTGTTGTGTCCAACATCTGTGCTGATAGTAGATTGATTCAAATATTGATATTAAACGGAACCCTAGCAATGGCTATTGTCTCTGTTAACATTTTATGGTTGATTTACAGTTCTTAGGTGAATATAAACTTTTGGATTGATCGATGATCAAAGGGTTGTGGCTCTTGAAGTTGACTTCGCCAACAGATTGTGCTCTTGGCAGGGTATGTGTCCAAATCTGCAAACTGTAACCTTAAATCCTTGTGATATTGTGAGCACTTTTAAATTTTGACTATGTTTCTAATGTGAAAGGTTTCATGAAATCACATGAAGAGATTTGGTTCATGATCAATCCAGAATCGATTGCTGGTATGCTCTTCTTAGCGGCTTTGAAAGTTACCAAAGCCATTAAATTTGTTGATGTTGAAGATTCTCTTATCACACAGGGTTAGAGAAAATACATTGAGTTATATGTACAAAACATTAAATCGTTTCTACATTCTGTAGATATTTATCTTCATTTCAGTTTTCAAGTACTACAGGGACCCAAAGGAAATAATTTTTCCCCAAGGCAAGGCGTAAAACAAGGATCAACACCATATATGCTCTACATCATCCATGGATCTCCTAATATAAACTGCAATGCCTCCTCTGGTAAAATTGAAACAAGCCTTTTCACATCAAGTTATTTCTTAATGTTTGTTTTTGGTCAACCACTTTGTTATTAATTTTGTGTTTACTTCTTTCTTCTTCAGGAGATCAGTAAAGCTTTCTATGGTTCCCTCCATGTCAGCAAGAATCAAAGCACGATCATGAAGATGGATTTGGTGTTGCTACGGGGAGTTGGGGATGTATTGCTTATGGTGGAGATCTTGAGCTCAAATTAATCTCTTCT